TTTTTTTAGTATTAATTTTATATACACTCTTGTAATTAAAACTTTTTTTTAATGTATAACAGGATTTTTATTTTGAAAAACCACAGAATTATTTGCATAAGTATATGATCGTAAAAACTAACAATTATTGAAATAAATCATTGTTTTTTTAAAAATCGATACAAATATAAGTTAAAAATTGATTTTTGTTTTGATACTTAAAAATGTTTTGAATACATATAAAAAACATAAATACATTTAAATGAGATTTGAATTATTGATTAAAATATTGAGTTCTTTGAAAAAAATAGAAGTGAATTAAAAATTACCTAAAAATATGATTTATTTGCGGACTTTGGCTATGAGTTCGTCGACCATTTCAGACAACTCTTTGTTTTCTATGATTTTCTGCTCCAACTGTTGACCGAGAGAACCGATTCTCATTTCAGACTTCTTCTGTTGAATCCTATAAGACATCAATTCGTTTTCCATTTCTTTTATATCGTTCTGTGAACTAAACAAATCAAAAGCAATTAGTTTAATGCAATTAATTATTAATTCACACCAAAAGAGTTACATTTTCTGTCTCTCAAGTGCCACATATTTATCACTGAGCTCTCGATAGTGTTTCTCATATTCCTGTAACTTGTTGTTGGCATTCATAGACTGATTCCTATAGAAGTCTTCGCTCTCCTTTAAATTCTTGAATTCAGCCTTCATTTTGTCGCAAATAATCTGATACTCATTCAAACTTTTCTCGAGCTTAAGCTTCTCATCGATTACTTTATTCTTCTCGTCGGCCATTGAATTACATACAGAAGAGGAGGTGAGCACCAGGTCTTCGTTGATATTATGCAAAACATTCACTAAATTGAAAAGTTTATCGTTTTCTTGTTTTGATGTCAGCAACTGTTGCTCCATGTCTTCAATTTTTGATCTCAACTTTTTCTCCTCTGCACTCTCTTTGATGCGTTCCTCCATTTCCTTAATCATATGGTTCTTCGCTCTAAGATTTTCCTCCATGTCTTCAATTCTGGATCTCAGCTTTTTCTCCTCTCCACTCTCTTTGAGGTTTTCCTCCATTTCTTTAATCATACGGTTTTTCGCTCTAAGATTTTCCTCCATGTCTTCAATTCTGGACCTCAGGTTTTTCTCCTCTCCACTCTCTTTGAGATTTTCCTCCATTTCCTCAATTCTGCGGTTCTTCTCAATAAGAGTTTCCTTCATGTCTTCAATTCTGTGCTCTTTTTCTCTTAGTTTTTCCTCCAATTCTTTGACTATTTCTTCCAATTCAGTCACCTTTTGTTGAGATTTCTGTGTCTCATAGCTGTTGTTGGTATAGCTTCGAGGGGTATAGCTTTCGGTGGTGTAGTCGTCCATTTGAGGAATCGGAGAAAACGTATCAAACAATTTTGGACTCGCATTTGAGTTCTTACTCCTGAGTGGGGCCTTTGGGGTGTCAGAGAGTCTGATGCCTCCCAACATATCCGCCAAATCTGAGCTCTCATTCAAATTGTTTTCAATTTTCGTTTCTCTCCGGCTCTCGACATACGATTTATTTCTCATTTCAACCAATGGATCAAAATTACGAAGAACTGATTGACGCGAAGGATATGTATTAATATATGACTTGGAGTTTGAGTTGGATTTCGGCTCTTTTTTCTCACTCCATGGGTTCAACAGACCGTCATATTTAGAGCCAATACTCTTGTAATAATCGTATGGATCGTATTCATTGTTCCGATTGGGGCTGTGCTTCCAGTCATTGTAGGCCTGATCACTGGTCTTATAATCGGTGGTCTCTTTTCGGGGATATTTCGGAGAATACTCTTTCTGTGAGTTTAAATCACATTAGATATAGGGATTAGTTTCAAAAAATAAATAACATTTCATTGGTTAATGAGATTAATTAATAAATAGACAGTTAATGCGTTAATTTTCAATCAAATATTAAATACCTTTCGTGTCAGAAATTTGTACATTTTTAACACTATTTGCGATTAATTAGCGAAAAATGATATAAAACTCTAACTTCTGACTAATTTCGTGTCAAAAATGAGATCCACTTATGAAATAAACATTTGAATGATAGACAAGACGTTTGTGTGAAAACAAGTTGTGAATTAAATTGAAATTAATTTTATGCCGAATTAGTTTGGTTTCGACAAAAACTAGATTTGTTATGAGATTTACATTAAATAAATGGCAAAAACAATGACTGTTTCAATAAATTGATAAATAATAAAATCCTTTGAGTTTAGCATAAAAAGCAGTTTACAAACAGTTCTTAAGCAAGAAAACAGTTTTTTGAGGTCAAGTCATAGCCCACAAGAATTCCCACACATTTATAGCCAAATAAAGCAATCTTTAATACATGGATACAAAATATATGAATATTACCTCATTTTCATCATCTCTTTGACACCGATTCAACTCATCGTTTGGTGTTTGCCATCCAATCATAGTATCTGTAATGGACTCACTTTGGCGTAAAGTGCTGTCCTCGCCATCATTAGGACGGGATGTAAGGAAAGACTGTTCCGCTTCATAGTAAGTCAGATCGTCTTCAAAGTTGGGATTACTTTGGTTCGCCATCTCCTCAGTCATAGACTCCTCGCATATATCGCTTATGACACGATTTCTGGTGCTATTGTCTGACATTTGAATGGTGTTGAGGACGTCCTCCAAAGCAGATTTGACCGCCGAATCGATTTCGCTTTCGTTGCGATTCTTATGTTTTAGAAACAAATTGATATTCAATTAAAACATTTTATTGCCTCAAAATCTTCTCAAACAACGAAAATCAATAATAAATGAGTTATCAATGAATTGAAAGACAGTTATACCAAATGATTGGGAATATCACGCGTTTGATTACCCATTAGTTGTGACATTAGATCTCTAATGATAGGATTGCATACAATCTCAACATTTTCTATCCTTTGAGTTTAGCATAAAAAGCAGTTTACAAACAGTTCTTAAGCAAGAAAACAGTTTTTTGAGGTCAAGTCATAGCCCACAAGAATTCCCACACATTTATAGCCAAATAAAGCAATCTTTAATAAATGGATACAAAATATATGAATATTACCTCATTTTCATCATCTCTTTGACACGGATTGAGCTCATCGTTTGGTGTTTGCCATCCAATCATAGTATCTGTAATGGACTCACTTTGGCGTAAAGTGCTGTCCTCACCATCATTAGGACGGGATGTAAGGAAAGACTGTTCCGCTTCATAGTAAGTCAGATCGTCTTCAAAGTTGGGATTACTTTGGTTCGCCATCTCCTCAGTCATAGACTCTTCGCATATATCGCTAATGATATGATTTCTGGTGCTATTGTCTGACATTTGAATGGTGTTGAGGACGTCCTCCAAAGTAGATTTGACCGCCGAATCGATTTCGCTTTCGTTGCGATTCTTATGTTTTAGAAACAAATTGATATTCAATTAAAACATTTTATTGCCTCAAAATCTCTTCGAAAATCAATCATAAATGAGTTATCAATGAATTGAAAGACAGTTATACCAAATGATTGGGAATATCACGCGTTTGATTACCCATTAGTTGTGACATTAGATCTCTAATGATAGGATTGCATACAATCTCAACATTTGC